CTGAACTTCATTAGAGAAGACATGAGAACTACCATGTCAGACCATTTTCTATCTTTCAGAATAATGAAAAGAAATTTTCACTGTGTTAGTAAGAATATATGGGATAAATATTCTGATTTATTCCTGGGAAGGTCGTAAATTAGCACACCTTTTTCTGTGTTTCCTAAGCTTTTTATTTGTGACCCAGAATAAAAAGATGTTTTTTGTTTGTTTTGTTGTTGTTTTCATTGCAACCCAATACACTAACACATATAGGACAGAAACACAAGTTGCACAAAAGATCTCTTAGCCTTATTTCATATGATGTACTGTTGTTTTCTATGTTTCTCCTTCCTTTCTCACCCACCCACCCCCTTCTTTCTTTTGTTTTCTAGTGCTGATTGTGAACCACTAAATACATAACATTTCTCTAGGTTGCAATGAAGGAGTCTACCACTTGAAAAACAGTGCTCCATTGATTGTATATTGGCAGTGTTTTGGATACCCCTGGTATCCCACCTTATAGCCTCTTGGCCCATGTTTGTACTCAAACTATTGCTGCAGCATCTAGCTGCCCGTGGATGTGATTCTGACAGCACTTTCCCTCAGCTACATCACATACACATCTTTCTCACTTTCTGTCCTGAGGCTTCACTGCTACTCTACATGAGATACCTGCAGCTCAGCAATTCTGAACCTGTGTAAACCTGGAGGTGAAAGAGAGTTAACATCCCTGAGGGAAAGCCTTGACCAGTGGGAGAAGAGAGCCAGTGGTTAATGTTTCCTTGTTCTGTCTGTTGGATGGATAATTCAAAGTGTGTCCTTCATAGCTCTTCAGAGGGTCCCCAACAAGATTGAGTCCCAGTTGCCTACAATAGTGAATTCTATATTAGTGCTTTTCAAACTTTAATGTATCTGCAAAACACTTGGGAGTCTTGTTTAAATGCAGATTCTAATTCAGTAAGTCAAGGGAGGATACAGAGATTGTGTATTTCTAACAGACTCTGGCTAGCTGACGCCACTTTGAGTAGTAGAGAGATAGAAAATACACCCATGAATTGGCTTTCCTTCCTTCCTTCCCTGTTGCACTCTTCCAGCACCTCAGATCCCCCAGGATCACTTCACAAATAAACTGTCTGCATATAAGCCTGTTTCTCTGGCTCAATTTTTAGGCAGAATCCAGGTTAAGAGAAGTAGTATTGACCCAGCAATTCTACTTCTAGAAATGTATCTTGTAGATATTTTCACATATATGTGAAATAATGTTGTATACAAGGTAAGTCATTACGACATAATAGCAAAACTGAAAACAATGTAAATGTCTTTAAGCAGAGGACTGGTTAAATGACTTGTGATATGTCTATATTATGGACGATTATATGGCTATTAAAACAGAAAAAATATATATGCTGGTAAGAAGAATATTCAAGATGTGTGCTAAGTGTAAAAGGGAAGATACAGAGTACTGTGCATATTAATGCCTTCATTTGGATAAATAAGCAGAAAATTACATATATGTTTTATTTGTATATGCATAAAATAACTGAAAGATAAGGGAAAAAATAATATTGGTCATAAAATGGATGGTTTTGGGGACAGGGAGGAGAGGAAGACTTTTCGTAGAATGTCGTTTATACATTTTGAATTTTTTTTTTTTTTTTTTTTTTTTTTTGAGCAGTAGCAAGGTTTATTGTGAAGAGTGAAAGGACAAAGCTTCCACAGCGTGGAAGGGGACCCGAGTGGGTTGCCCTATATTTGAAATTTTAAAACTATGTGATTGTATTAACTGTTGAATTAAAATTTAAGTGTTTGGTCTAAAAGTATTACTTTCTTTTTCTTTGAATCTCGAGGTACTCTAGCATTTAATGTTTATCATATATTCAGATGAGTATGGAATAAGATCATGTATCACCTATGTTATTTAACTATGTCCATATAGTAGTTTTCCAAGCTAAATTATGACGGTTATACTCTGTATCTGTGGTTTTTTTAAAAATGCTACTGTCAGAGCACATTACATTATGTATATAGTAAGCACTTTGTAGATACCTGCCAAATTTATTTAAATACCTTACATTTGACTTCCTTACCAGAGCAGTGCCTGCAGTAGAACTGATTGAGCTTATTGTCTAAAACTTAGTAATTGCACAGTTATTCAGGAAGTCACTGGAAGAGGAAATGACAATGGTTCTAAAAATGAGACGAATTATAGCAAAGTATGACTTTTTTTTCTTTTACTCAAAGCAGTGGAAGAATATAATACATTTTTTTAAGGATTATTGGCTGGGTGCAGTGGCTCACACTTATAATCCCAGCCCTTTGGGAGGCTGAGGTGGGAGGATCACTTGAAGCCAAGAGTTCAAGACCAGGCTGGACAGCATGGCAAGACTCCAGCCCTACAAAAATTTTTTTAGAGCTGGGAATGGTAGCTCACACCTGTAATCCCAGCATTTTGGGAGGCTGAGGCGGGTGGATCACTTGAAGCCAGGAGTTTCAGACCAACCTGACCAACGTGGTGAAACCCCGTCTCTACTAAAAATACAAAAAATTAGCTGGGCATGGTGTCATGCACCTGTAATCCAAGCTATTCACATGACTGAGACACAAAAATTGCTTGAACTGGGGAGGTGGAGGTTGCAGTGAGCTGCGATCGCACCACTGCACTCCAGCCTGGGTGACACAGCAAGACCCCGTTGCAGTGAGCTGAGATCGCACCACTGCATTCCAGCTGCGGGGTCTCACTCTGTCGCCCAGGCTGGAGTGCAGTGGTGCAATATCGGTTCACTGCAAGCTCTGCCTCCCAGGTTCACGCCATTCTTCTCCCTCAGCCTCCCAAGTAGCTGGGACTACAGGTGCCTGGCACCACACCCAGCTGATTTTTTTTGTATTTTTAGTAAGGATGCCATGTTAGCCAGGATGGTCACAATCTCCTGACCTTGTGATCTGCCCGCCTCGGCCTCCCAAAGTGCTGGAATTACAGGTGTGAGCCACCGCGCCTGGCCAATACTTTTTTAAAAAAATAAACATGCACCTATGGTTTCAGCTACTTGAAAGGCTGAGGCAGGAGGATCACTTGATCTCAGGAGTTTGAGGCTGCAGTGAGCCATGTTCAAGTCACTACATTCCAACCTGGGTGACAGAGCAAGACTTGTGTCAAAGAAAAAAAAGAATTATTAGTAAATGGTTAAAATTTTTAGTTTTGAAGTTGAAAGATTAAACTTGTTATCTTAGAGATTTATTACTCTGTCTCCAATCACGTTAAAAGATCAGCAAATAAATTTTAGTGTCTACTATAACCCAGTTTTATACTAGGCCCTGAGGATACATTGGTGAGCTAAAACAGAGGTAGTTTTACACTCATTGAACATACAGCCTAGTGAGGGAGACAGACATTAATCATATAGTAATGTTCATGTTTGATTAATTACAAATGAACTCAGTGCTCTAACAAAAACGACAGATTTTCTTATAGTGTGTATAAAAGGAATCTGATGTAGATGTATGGTATCAGGGAAGATGTAGTGCTTCTGGACCTAAAAAAAAAAAAAAAAAAAACAGAGGCTGTGTAAAGTCCACATCATGCTGTCTGTGTTAGGTATTTCAGTCATTTCCAGATTTATCAATGATAGTCTATTGCTGTGTAACAAACCACTCCCGAACTAAGCGGCTTGAAAAGACTTCTCACAATTCTGTGAGTTCACTGGGTGATTCTTCTGCTGGTCTTGTCTATGGCGGCTGCATTCAGCTGGAGACTGAGCTGGGGGTCTGGTCCTCCTGCACCAAATGTTCTTCCTTACCAGGCTTCTTTTGGCCTGGTGGTCCCAGCATTCTCAGAAGGTAAAGACTGAAGCTGCAAGCCTTCTTGAGGCCTAGGCTCTAGAACTTGCACATCAACCCTGTTGGTTAAGGCAAGTGAAAAGGCTAGTAGTCTAGATTCAAGACTGAGGAAATAGATTCCACCTCTTGGTGGATGGAATTTGTGGCCATGTTTTTCAATTACCAGTCTATCAAGTAACTAATTAATAAATAGTTATTTACTAAGTATTGCTTTAAGAACTGGAAATAAAACATGAATAAGATACAGTAATAAGTTGCCTTTTTTTCCTTTTCCTTGGAGTACATGGTATTTGTGCATTGTCATTCCACTTTCCATAGAGATCAATATTTGTGAATGTTTTTTTCCATGGTATAATAATGAATCATGAAACGAATAAAATATAAACAGCAGAGCCTTACCTAATTAGAGAAGAGGAGGAAAATCCCTGGGAATTATAAGTAATTTTTAACCTTTCCAAATTTGCGTGAAGAACACGTATTTTGTAGTCAGAAAAGAGTGAATGCTATGCTGGTGGAGCCATGCAGTTATGAATGATATCTGTAAGCACAGAAATTGCCTTAGTAGTGATAATCTTAGGGAACTCAAATTTTTCTTTGTAGTTATTATCACTTTGCTGTCAGGTTTATTTTAGCTACTTTTTTTTTCTTTCTTTTTTTTTTTTGAGGCGGAGTCTTGCTCTGTCACCCAGGCCGGAGTGCAGTGGTCTGATCTCGGCTCACTGCAACCTCCGCCTCCCGGGTTCAAGCAACTCTCCTGCCTCAGCTTCCTGAGTAGCTGGGATTACAGCTGTGCACCACCACGCCTGGCTAATTTTTGTATTTTTATTAGAAGTGGGGTTTCACCATGTTGGCCAGGCTGATCTTGAACTCCTGACCTCAAGTGATCCACCCTCCTCAGCCTCCCAAAGTTCTGGGATTATAGGAATGAGCCACCGTGCCCCACCTGTTTTAGCTACCTTTTAAAGCTGGTTTCTTCCTAGCTCAAACTTTACCCTTTTGAATAATTCTGAATGAATGAGTAAATAAACATTATATGTAAAACTAATGACAAAGACATTAGCTACCTGGAATTTTGTTTTTGCAGGAAACATCCCACAACAACAAAAGTATTTGATTTGCTTAGAGAGTTACTTTATGAGCAGTAATACCATCTAACTTTTTCCAATTTTTTTTTTTAATCTAAGAATGATAAGAATGCTGCTTTTCTTCTGATGGAAAGTGACAGGCTAATCATCAGTTTACCCAGAGTGAAGTGGACAGAAGTGGCATTGACTATGGCGTCTCAGCTTCAAGAAAAATGCATTGCATTTATTGTAGAAAACTTCTCCAAGATTATTCAGAGTGAAAATTTTGCTCTTCTCTTACAGGTACTATGTCTAAAATTATATCCTATACTTAGTTCCATCTTTGTGTTCTGATTTCAGTTATGTAAGAGCTTTTAAATGCAGGTTGCTTTTGATTAAATTAATGTGATTTAAATAAACTCCATGGCAGATGGCATGTTTACATAGGATTTAAGGCAGTGATGGACAGGATTTTTGGCTCACAAGATGAGAAAGGCAAGAGGGACAGGTTTGAGTGCCCTGGCAAGGCACAGTGTAATTCTGGCCAACTCTAGCCCTCCCTCAGCAAGCCACGTTTTAGAAACCAAAGTCATAAAGATGCTGTTTTGGCCAGTAATACAATTATGGTCCATGCAGAATTCTCTGTCTTATTGGGAAGCTACTTTCTCTAAAATTATTCATGGAATAAATAACTCCTATTGTTTATTTCTAGATTCTGTATTTAGGGCTATGTTGGCTTTTAAAAACTGTGTGTATATGCATATATGTGGATTTTTTAACAAAAGAAAGGGAAAAGACAAATATTTCTGGTTGACTTCATACAGCTAGTTATAATGATCTGTTAATACCAGACTTTCACATTTCTTGTGCATTTTATATGTATTCCTCTTAAATATTAATTTATGTGTTTTATAGTCACAAGCAATGAGTAGCACAGCCGATCTGTTGGACACAATTTTCAAAGCAATTGAAGAAAATATCACCACTGAAAATAGTTGCTCTCTTCTTATGGCTCTGGACACATTGCTGAACTCTGACAGTACAAAGGAAATGGTACTGAATGTAATGAAATTTATTAAAATAATGCAATATTTGAACTAAGATTTTTAAATGAATGTGCATTTTAAATGTTGCATGGGTCATTGAAGCCAGGCAGTGGATACCTAGGGGTGGATTAAGATCTCTACTTTTGTATATGTTTGGAATTTTTTATAATACTAAATTTTAAAAATTCCATTTGTCTCCAAATGGACTTCTTATAAAAGTTTAGAAATTGGCACTTTGGCTGGGTAATTTTAAATGTAGTGTGACACTTAGCAATATTATTTGGCACAGCATAACTCTAGTATTTCTCCCTGGTCCTACAGTAAATTTTCTAGATATAAAATGTATATTTTAGAGTTTTTAATCATCAGTGTCTTTTATTTTTATAATCTTAATTTTTCTTTTCAAAAAATCATACTTTAAAATTAGGTGGTGAAGCAAAATTAAAATATTTATTTTTAAGTACAATTAATCAGTGGCCATTAATTAGGTAATTACAAATTATTGGCATTCTGTATTTGTTCAACAAAAATGGTTTTTAAAATATATCATATTTATTACTATTCCATAGAGCATTTGACCTTGTAATGTCATAGTTGATATGAAAAGGCTGCAGAAGGTGTTCATATCAAGGGCATTGGTGTTTTAAAATAACGTTTGGTTGAAAAGATGAGATTTTTTAGCTTTGTGTTCATTTATAAAATTTTGTTATTAATGAGTAAGCCTTCATAAATAACATGTACCCAACGATCTTAAAAATCTAAATGATGACATCATTGATCTAGCTTAGGAGTAAGTAGATTCTGAAAGGAATAATGACTGGTTGCTATGACAATGTGGCTCTCACCAGCTGCTGATTTGTTGCTTGAACACAGGGTTTTACGTGCAAGATCCAGGCTCTGCGTGATAAGCTGTGGATCTTCCTGGTTCAGTCTTTCTATGCTGTTCGTCACACAGAAAGCTGGAAGCTGATGAGCACAGATGATCAACAGAAAATCCAAGCAGGTACGTTAGCCTTGAGATATTTCAATTCTTATGTAATGATTGTTGTGACAGCAGATATTTTGAGGGCATTCTGATAAGTGGAAAGGTTAACATTTGTGTGCTTCTGTTGGATAATAGGATGCTAACTGAAACTGGTGCTCATATGTTTAGGCAGTTTTAATAAATCATGCCTTTTAGCTGTTCTTAGAAAATGAAACTAATTTCCTTTACATATATATATATATATATATCAATTTTTAATCTTACTATACATTAGCAACAATGTTCTAGGCAAATTTGCTTGCAAGCATTCTTGTGAAGAGATTAAAAGTGTAAGAAAATGTAGCCCACATAGAACAGAGTATCAAACATACTTTTTCCTCCTTTTTAAATATGTTTTGTCATAAAGCTTTTCCATCTTTTTCGTAAGACATGCTTTCTTGTGGTTTTGCTTGGAATAGATGGCTTTATTTCACAACTGATTGGTTCAGTGATGTGCAGTGTGCTATTGCGGACTGTCCCTCAGGAGCTGCACAGTGGTCCGTGACATTTAATAGGTATCATCTGAAACATTAGCATTAAACAAAAGATGTATAGTTTTCAGAACATATGTTTAAAAATATATATCAAAATAAAAATTCGAGGGTGTGGAACTAAAAATGGCTTCATGAGTATTTTTGGGTTAAAGCAGGTGCCTTAGAAAAAATACTGACATATTCAGTGTGTATAGTTTTTACAACGTTTTAAGAGACTAAATTTTATGAAGCAAACATTTTAGTACTGTAAAACATGGAAGCCATATCTGTTAAAATATATTTTGAGAATGCATAAATATGTTAAATTCTTTAGTGGTATCATCAGCATAGGATCTGCTTTTACATTATAAGCATTACATGATAGTGTAGCTAGATGTGATATGAAGAGCACTTTTCAAAAAAATTCCATTATTTTAAACAAAAATTATGAGAAGAAGTTCTTAGAAATTAGACATTTTTTTCCTTGTGACTCTTTCTCTGCTGATTTTTAAATGTTTTATTTTTACAAAATGTATGTAATGTGAAGTAACAAGATAAGATCAGCATTCCTTCAGTAGGTGTCTTTCAGCGCTCTCCTGATTAGTAGGAAACTTTGTTTTTCTCTATTTTAGAGAATTTCATAGTTAAGTTGAGCTTCAGTGTTCTTTAATTCTTCAAAGTGCTAATTAAAAATACATGTAAATACCCATATTTAAATAAAATGTTATTGTTAATCCAACTATCCAGCTAATCCAACAATCCTTTTTGAATTGTCAAAAAGGACTTTTCATTCTATTATGTTGAGTCAGTGTAATAATAATGTTTTAATCTTAAATAAGTTGAATTATGAGTCCTGACTTATGCATAATTACTTCCTCGGGAAACCTAGATAAAGGAATGGTTCTGGGTTGTCTGTTACTACATTTCGTATGTCATAGTTCAGTTACTGACTTTGGGGTGAAATTTTTTATTTTAATTTCTTCCTGTGTATTATTGTGCAGAGTCATTTGCTTACTGCAAATCAGTCCTATAGTGCCATTTTCAGGATCCTGCTTTGTCTTATAGCACATATCCTATAGAATAGAGATCATGGAAGATGCATGGTAGTTACAGATAATTTAATGCATTTTTTATTAGCTGATTTAATAAAAATCAAATAATTTTTGGAGATTACATATATTTCTTCAAAATAATCTTAAAGCCCAGTAACTGTCAAAAGAAAGAAATACATTTGCTAAACTATATTTGTAGCTCTCATGTCATTATTTCAGCCTACATATTTTCCTGACATCTTTCAAATTCTTATTTGAATAGCATAGACATGAGTTCTGCAATAAATTCCCATATAAACCTAACTTATAAAAGAATTTTTATTTAATTATAAAAAGAATGATATTTTGAAGATTGTTTCTTGTTTTATTTTCAGTAGAACCTTATTTTTTCTTTTCTCTTTCCTCCTTCCTTGTTATATATATCTGCAAAACCAGAAAATATTTTTAACTTCAGAGTATTTTTATATTTAGTATAAACATTTTCTCATATTTAATAGCTTGTAGAATGTTACATTTGCCATAATCTGTAATTTTTTGTAATTTGGAAAACTAAATGAAACCAATTATCAAAATGTCACGGTTTGAGAAAATTCTCATGTTTTTGTAAATGTATGAATCTTCTCTGTGAGATTGTACAGTTCTTATTTATTAATTTTAATAACAGAAAACCTAGGGGCCAGAGAGTCAGATAGAAAATGAGGTTCTTTTAAAAAAAAAATCTAAAATATAATAGGGAGTTGTTTTGTATACTAGATTGGTTTCAGGTTTATTAAGTTATTTCCATTAAAATATGACTTTTTTTCTGCTGACATACTATTTTTCCTTTACTTCTAAGGTATAATAATGTTCCCTATAAAAATAAATTGCTGTTTCTTTCTACAGCTGCATTTGACAAAGGTGATGATCGAAGACTTGGCAAAAAGCCTATATTCAGTAGCTCACAGGTAAACTTTCTAAATTTTATAGGTACAAATGAAAAAGATAACAAATTATTTAAAGTTTATTTTATATTTCAGAAAAAGTTTTAAAAATCTGTTCATTAATTGAAGCTATTTCTTAATGGAAAATTTTTCTTTTTCTAAATCAAGTGAACATTTAATAAATGTTTTAAAGTGAATTTTTTATATCCAACTGGCATTGGAAGTACCTACCTTTTTCATTTCCTTGAAAACCTTTTTGGCAGCTAACAGAACTATTTCAGTCTATTGGCGGTTGTTTAGAACTATAGACCTAATTCAATGTCTATTTTTCTAATTAGCCTACTTCTTAAAAAAGAAGATTTTAGGCCAGGCGTGGTTGCTCACGCCTGTAATTCCAACACTTTGGGAGGCCGAGGCGGGTAGATCACCTGAGGTCAGGAGTTCGAGACCAGCCTGGCCAACATGGTGAAACCCCATCTCTACTAAATATACAAAACTTGCTGGGCATGGCGGCGCACACCTGTAATCTCAGCTACCCAGGAGGCTGAGGAAGGAGAATCACTTGAACCTGGGAGGCAGAGGTTGCAGTGAGCCGATATTGTGCCATTGCACTCCAGCCTGGGTGACAAGAGCAAAACTCCGTCTCGAAAATAAAGTTTTTAATTCACATAATATATTTTTGGTGTTTTTGAAAAAAGCAATTAGTACTAAGAGTACAACTGTGTTTTACTTTAAAAGTTACTTGTTATATGAGGTATCTAAAGTAGTTGAACTCTTAGAAGGTAGTATTGTGGTTGCTGAAAACTAGGGGGAGGGAGAAAGGGGGAGTTGTTCAACGAGTACAGAGTTTCCATTTTGCAAGTTGAAAAGTTATCTGTTGTGCAACAAAGTGCATGCAGCTAACATTACTACACTGTTACTGAAGTGTATTAAAGAGTACTTAAGTATGTTAAATGGTTAAGATGGTAGATGTCATGTTTTATGTGTTTTTTGTTTGTTTGTTTTACCATCCACAAAGTTATTTGTTGTTTTCCTTATAACCTGAAATAAATTTTTCTTCCCAAAAATGTTATTAATGATGGTTAGGGTTCCAAACTAACTTACAGATGTTCACTTTACCAATAATATATTCAAAGTACAAAATTATTCTAACCTTCTCTGTGTGGTACAATGATAGACATACATTGAGAGTTCCAGTTTGGAATGCAATGAACATATTGCCCTAGCAGAGTGGAATAGGAAATCCTTTTTTCTTCCTCATCAGCCAGTTGATAGGAACTAATGCAGCTCCAAGCCACAACCAAGAGTTCTCATGGCTTGAGGAAGAAGTCAAGCTCCAAATGTCTTGAGTGAGAAACCAGGAAACTGGAGTTTTTGCCAGTTAACCTCTTAGGATTGTTTCCAAAGTGCATTTCACAAGATATGAGCTCCATCTAGCATCAACTATAAGTTGGAGAGTTGCTACACACACCATAGTGCCCCTTTTTTTTTTTTTTTTTTTTTTTTTTTTTTTGAGATAGAGTTTGCTCTTGTTGCCCAGGCTGGAGTGCAATGGCACGTTCTTGGCTCACCGCAGCCTCAGCCTCCTGGGTTTAAGCAGCTCTCCTCCCTCAGCCTTCCGAGTAGCTGGGATTACAGGCATGTGCCACCACACCAGGCTAATTTTGTATTTTAGTAGAGATGGGGTTTCTCCATGTTGGTCAGGCTGGTCTCGAACACCCGACCTCAGGTGATCTGCCCGTCTCGGCCTCCCAAAGTTCTGGGATTACAGGCATGAGCCACCACGCCCAGCCCCATAGCTCCTCTTATAGACCGATGATGCATATTACACCTTGAAAGTGCTGAGAAACACTAAAGAACTACTTTTGAATTATTGCATCCAAAATTTCCCCCAGTCATCCAAAATTTCCCCCAGTGTTACAGCTATAACAAGACTAGGTTCCTCATCCCCTTTTTTTTTTTTTTTTTTTTTTGGGGACAGAGTCTTGCTCTACCCAGGCTGAAGCACAGTGGCGCGACCCCGGCTCACTGCAAGCTCCACTCCCAAGTCTGTACATTCTCCTGCCTCAGCCTCCCGAGCAGCTGGGACTACAGGCACTCCCCATGACGCCTGGCTAATTTTTTTGCATTTTTAGTAGAGATGGGGTTTCACCTCAGATAGCCAGGATGGTTTTGATCTCCTAACCTTGTGATCCACCAGCCTCAGCCTCCTAAAGTGCTGGGATTACAGGTGTAAGCCACTGCGCCCAGCTCCCTCAACCCTTTTAAAACATATTATATGATTCTACAGAACATACTCTAGGAAATAAAATAGGCCATTTTTTTCTGTGTCCCCTGTTATCCCCGTGTTTTTAAAGGCCCCGAGGAATTAACTCTATTTGCCTTCCTTTTCCCCTGCTACTAACCAGGCTTTTCCTCCTTCCTTGCCTTATTGCAAAATAGAACAAGGTTTCATTATTTTTCCTCATCCTCCTGACTTTGTGGTTGTCTAAGTCTTTTTTCTGTTAAGAACAGTTGAAGCTGAAACAGTTTCCTTCCCAATGGAAGGAAGTAAGTTTCCAGAAAGACAGTGATATGCTGAAATGGGATGCTGACATAAAATAAAGAGTTCAAATTTTGACTTTACATTTATTATGTAATATCTGTGAGTCTCAGTTTGCTTATTTATAAAATGGAGTAATAAAACTCACAGATTATTGTGAAAATTATACGAAATAATTTATGTGCAATTACCTGGTATGTAGTAAATGCTCAATAAATGTGGAGCAAATAAATGTGTTTTCCAAACAGGGATGAGCTATCTAGGAGGTGGGAGAAAGTTTATCAGATAAGACAGGGAACAGGTTTTTTGTTTGTTTTGTTGTGGTGGTGGTTGTTGCCTGCTTCATTTTTCCATCATAGAGCAATTTAAGAAGAATGCTGAAAATTAAAGTACTTAAGAATAAAATATGATATCTGGATTTGCTTCTAAAATAAAATAGGAGTAGGTGTATGAAACAAATGGGAATTAATAATTAATAATTTTAGAGCGTTATTAGGTATGTGAGGATTCATTATACTTTTCCTGTCTTCTTTTGATTGGTGTTTAATTTTTCCCATTTTTTGAGACAGGGTCTCACTCTGTCACCCAGGCTGGAGTGGCATGGTGTAATCACGGCTCACTGCAGCCTTGACCTTCTGGGCTCAAGGGATCCTTCCACCTCAGCTTCCTTAATAGCTGGCATAGGCCCAAATTACCATGCCCAGCTAATGTTTGTGTTTTTTTTTGTAGAGGCAGAATTTTGCCATGTTGCTCAGGCTGGTCTCTAGACTCCTGGGCTCGGGTTAACCACACCTAGCCTATTGTGAAATTTTTCAAGGCATACAGCTATACCCGTATACTATATAGATTTCACCCATAGCATAATATCAAGATGCATAAATTCAAGGATAGAATAAATTATGAGTTAGTGTTAAGAGGGGAAGGAGTTCTAAAAGCAGAAGTCAGCCTGGTTTTTTAGGTATTAAAAATAGAGAAATGTTATTTTTGAGCTAAGATTTGGAGCAAGAAAACAAAAAATGAGGACTAAGTCTATTTGAAACTTTTAATAGAATCCTGGAAGACTGCTGTGAATAGGACCAGTCTCTACCCTGTGGACAGGCATAAGCTGAGACCTGCTGTTAATAATTTCTTGAAATGTCCCAGGTTGGTTAGAGGCAAAACTGTGACAAGAATCTAGTGGTTGCTTTATCACCATGCTTTCCTTTTGTCTAAATTTAACCAAGTTATTTATTATGTATTTTGTGTGCATACACATTCATATATGTTATTTTATCTTTGACAACTTTTAATGTAATTGGAAGCTTTTCGTATTTAAAAATAGACCTTAAACTGCATATCAAAATATACAATATATGCTCAGTGTTAACAACATTACGTTTTTTGTTTGTTTGTTTGTTTGTTTGTTTGAGTATCCAATATGTGATATGGTGCTGAGGGATATGAAAGATGAAGAGAGCACAGGCTCTGCCTCAGACTCCTTGCTGCCAATCTCATACAGCTTCCAAAGGAAAAAAAAAAAACCATTTGCATACTTACATAAAGAATGACAATAGGACAGGCACGGTGGCTCATGCCTGTAATCCCAGCACTTTGGGAGGCCCAGGTGGGCAGATCACGAGGTCAAGAGATCAAGACCATCCTGGCCAACATGGTGAAACCCCGTCTCTACTAAAAATACAAAAATTAACTGGGCGTGGTGGCGCATGCCTGTAGTCTCAGCTACTCGGGAGGCTGAGGCAGGAGAATTGCTTGAACCTGGGAAGCGGAGGTTGCAGTGAGCCAAGATCACGCCACTGTACTCCAGCCTGGTGACAGAGCAAGACTCCATCTCAAAAAAAAGAATGACAATATTGAAGGTACAGTGGCTCATACCTGTAATCCTAGCACTTTGGGAGGCCGAGGCAGGCGATTGCCTGAGCTCAGGTGTTCAAGATCAGCCTGGGCAACACGGTGAAACCCTATCTCTACTGAAATACAAAAAAAATTAGCCGAGTGTGGTGGCGTAGTCCCAGCTACTCGGGAGGCTGAGGCAGGAGAATTGCTTGAACCTGGGAGGCGGAGGTTGCAGTGAGCTGAGATTGGGCCACTGCACTCCAGCCTGGGTGACAGAGCAAGATTCTGTCTCAAAAAAAAAAAAAAAAAAAAAGAATGACAATATGATCTTAAAATATTATTCTAGAATTTCTACCAACTTAAAAATTTTCTTTGTTCCCTTTCATATCAAGGTTGGGTCTAAGGAAAATGATGAAGTAGGTATCATGCATTCTCAGTGCCATTTTATTTGTCCCTTTTTTTAGGCTATTTCCAACTATTTTTAGGATCCCTTTTCCTTCACTTCCTATAGCCAGCCAGTGCTGTACTAGTATCTTATTTGTCCAAAAACCAAGCTTTGCAGATGTAGTGTATTGATGTGCTGTGCTTCCTAGGAGCTTTAAAAAATTTTTTTAAATAAGGACTCCAAGAAGTAAAGTATTCTTCCCACAGAGGATTAAGTCTTTAATGATAAAATTTCTGGCACTTGGGATAAGGTTGAAGAGAGAATTTTTATTGAAAATCTTTATAATGTTCCCTCAAATTATGCCATATAGATGACTTCGGTGTGAGGTTAAATCATGAGTTCAAGTCCTGGGTTCTATCCTCACCAACCTGGAGACCTGGGGTAAATCACATACCTATTTTAATCCTCAATTTATTGTCTAAGAAATAGAAACAGCCCCAGGAGCTATTTCATGGGACTGTTGTGAGGTTTAAGTGGGATGATGTATACAAAAGATGTAGTATAAAAACATGAGTAAGTCTTCTTCTAACAAATCTTGGATATTATCATTCCTGAAGGCATCCTGAATCTTATAGATGTATTAATTTCTCTATACTCAAAACTTCATACATTAAAAAAGCATTCTGTTATTTATTTAATTTAATAGGAATAGCATGCCTTTAAAAAATAACACTTATGCTGTATTTCAGATTTGATTAAGGTAGTCTGAGACAAAGTTTTGATCCAAATGATCAAAGACAGTTCAAGCTTTGACCTTAAATCAAAAATTGAACTTTTCTATTTTTTTCTTCTTTGAAAGACTGGCTTTTGGAAACATATAATATTATATGTTAAAGATTTCAGTCAAATTACAAAGTATTTTTTTCTTCTTTTTTATAGCAAAGAAACAAGTTTCTGACTCTGGTGATATAAAAATCAAATCTTGGAGGGAAAATAACAAGAAAGAGTGTTGGAGTTATCTCTCTACTAATAAAAAGATGAACCAAGGATTAGGAGCATCTGGACATTCATCAAGTACCAATAGAAATAGTATAAATAAAACTCTGAAGCAAGATGATGTAAAGGAAAAAGATGGTACAAAAATAGCATCTAAAATTACAAAACAACTAAAACTGGGGGAAAAATGTTTCTTAAAGCCCAAACTATAATAAAATCCAAAACAGGAAATGGTGATAATGCACGGTTGGAAAACATGTCACCTAGACAAGTTGTAGAAAGATCATAACAGCAGCAGCAGCAACTGGACAGAAGAATTTACTAAATGGAAAAGGAGTGAGAAATCAGGAAGGGCAAATTACAGGTGCCAGACCCAAGGTAATTACAGGAAACTGAATGTGCAAGCCAAAGCAAAACCTTGAAGAAAGCGACAGGAAGGATTCTCCATGCCTCAGCATCGCAGGACCTCCAGCAGATCCACAGATTCAAGTATGGAATTCTCAATTTCCACTGAATGTCTGGATGGACCAGAAGAAAATGGATCAATAGGAGAAGAAAAGCCTTCTGGACATAAACTATCCTTTTGTGATTCTCCAGCACAGATGGTGAAAAACAGTGTAGTTAGTGTCAGTACCTCCACTGTAGGTGGGTTTTAGCACTGTAATTTTTAATATCTCCTGACAGTTAAAGTTCCTTAAAAAAACAAAAACCTAAACCCAGCTTGGGCTTTTATTTAGTTTCAAAATGCCAACAGAATACTTATTTATATGTACTTATGCAAACTGAGAAAAAAATGTAGTCCTTCCCACTTTAATATTTCATTTTGTTTATAGTGTCTAACCAGTAAACTTATACATATTTGTTACATATTTAATGTATTCTATCTTATGACTCACTTTTCTTAATTTTAGCCATAAAATCTCGACCTGTTTCAAAAGTTACCAATGAACTTTACCAAAAAAGTATTCATGAACAAGACACTACTATAAATCACAGGTAGGTCTTCATTCAGTGTTTTAACTTATCTGTTAGCTTTCTCTCAAAGTTAATTATATACTAACTGCTAGCTAAATATTTTTAAAATATCTTTTATTTTTTGTTAAAAAAATTTAGTGTATTTACATAATTTAACACAGTTTATTAAAAGAAATTAGTATATGCAAAATGAGGCACAATATTTAAAAGAATATCAATGTGTACTATGGTATATGATTATGCATTGCTTTATTATACTTGATCTACAGTTTTATAAACTTAAAGACTTATGAGCATAAGGATTTTTCTATTTTTGTGAGAGATGTATTTTATTTCTGAAAACTGTTTCAGTCAGTCTTTAAAAAGTTCATGTTTTGGAATCTCAGTGTAATACTGAATGCAAATAATTTTCAGTGTACTAAAGAAGGTCAGTGGCAAAGGATATAGTGAGCCAGTACCACAGGCAATTTTGAAGAAAAGAGGAACTAGCAATGGATATGGCGCAGCTCAGCAGAGGACAAAGAGTACCCCATCTAATCTTACTAAAACTCAAGGTAAAGCTGAAATAGTACTGGATATCTTGAAATTATTTCCTTGTGTAAACTGGATAAGCCAAACTCTGATTTGGAACTTCAGGAGCAAATAAGCAAAATATGGTTTTACTCATTTGTGTTTGTTTTTACACCATAGAGATGAGATTGCATACTTTTCAGACAGGTGTTTTGGGATGTAGGTTTGGTTTTGTTGTTTTGTTGTTGTTATTGTTGACACAGGGTCTCGCTCTCTGTCACCCAGGTTGAGTACAGTGGCATGATCACACTGCAATCCTGCTTGGCCTGCCTCCCAAAGCGTTGGGATTACAGGCATGAGTCAACACACCTGGCCTCTGTTTGGTTTTATTGTCTCTTGCAGAGAGAAATAATTAAGGGAGTCACTAGTTTAGCTGGCATTTCTGGTCCTTTTTTTTAAATATTATGCCCGTGTTTCTTGAAAGTTCCATTGTTAATTATAGGAATTCATTTGTAAACTGGCACTAAAGAACTCTTTTTTAAAAAGTAATAGTGTAGGCAGGGTGCAGTGGCTCACGCCTGTAATCCAAGCACTCTGGGAGGCCAAGGCAGGTGGATCACCTGAGGTCAGGAGTTCAAGACCAGCCTGACCAATATAGTGAAACCCCATCTCTACTAAAAACACAAAAATTAGCCAGGTGTGATGGTGTGGTGGCCTGTTGTCCCAGCTACTTGGGAGGCTGAGACAGGAATTTGCTTGAACCTAGGAGGCGGAGGTGTTGCAGGGAGCCAGATCGTGCCTGCACTCCAGGCTGGGTGACAGAGCGACACTTTATCTCAAAAAAAGATAATAATAATAATAATGCAGTCTAAACAACTATGATACATAAGGAGGAAGAATTTCCCTTCCAGAATCTGTGTGAGTCCATTGGTTTTCAGTGTTCTGAAAAGGAAAAGAGTACTGATCAGATTGCATAATTTGCTAACATAATAACTGATTTTCAAAATTGCTTTTATGTATCAAGCATTCACATATGTAAAAGCAGTTTGTAAAATCCTAAAAACAGTTTTGATTTGGATTATGAATTATTACTGAAAATCAATTAAAAATAAGGCAGAGAAAAATATTTTCATACTCCTAGTAATAGCTAAATATTAAACATTTAAAATATTTGATAATTCTGTTTCGACAGATTTGAATGTCCAAAATATCATCTCTAAGACTTTCACCAGTGTAAACAAATGGATTCCCCAAATTAATCCCCTTCTTTCCAGTCAGCAGTTCTAGTTTTAATTTTGAGATCTAAGTTGTTAACCCTAATGAGCTACAGTAGGCTAATCTGTTATGACAAATTGGTTTTATTCATGTTTGAAGAAAAACAACTGCAAACAATTTGTATGCAGTTCTATTTATTTTATATTTATTTGATTCTCCTTTTCAGCTATATAGAACACACTGCTTTTTTTTCTCCAAAACTTCAAAGGAAGACCTTTCTTGCCCTTCTTTTTTGGTAAAAAAGAAAACCTGATTTTTTTACTCCCATACATTTTGCAAATCCAGTTTTGGCATAAAAATCAAGTCTCTTTACTTGAGTGCAAGAGATCCTATTTTAGTAATTTTTACTGGGACCTCGTAGAACCTCTATATTTCTAATTGAAATTTTTTTTTTTATTTTATCATGTAACTGATTCCTAATCTGTGGTTGTCCATTTGATCATAGATATGTTACCCTTCCATTGTGGTCTTGATTTTATTTTTTCTGAAGTAATTTTAAAACAAATATTAAATTTTACTCACAAATTGGAGGTGATAATACATTTCTGAATATACCCTCTTACTTTTCTTAGGATCCCAAGGAGAGTCACCAAACTCAGTAAAATCTTCAGTCTCTTCAAGGCAGTCTGATGAAAATGTGTAAAGTTGGACCATAATATGCCTACAGAGAAACAAGCACCTAAGAGAAAAATCGTCAAGCAAGTACACACAGCTTTGCCTAAGGTTAATGCAGCATTAGGGCAATGCCTAAAAATCTAAATCAGTCAAAGAAAGGTGAAACTTTGAATAATAAAGATTCAAAACAGAAAATGCTTCCTGGACAGGTTATGTCAAAAACTCATCCTTCCTCCCAAAGACTCTTAAAAAGTGGAAACACCATTGTCCAAAAAGTATGTTTCATGATGCTTGAAAAATAATAAACATATTGTATTTAAACAGTAGCTCACAAACCTCTCATTAATCTTGCATCTGAAATCAGTGATGCAGAAGTACCCAGTCATCCTGCAGGCTTAGACCACAAAGCCATTACATGATCAAGAAAAAGAGAAGTTGGTGTTAGAATGCCAAAATATTTCCAAAGCTGGATAACCAATAAAAACACAAACTGAATCCAAACAGATTTGTTTAGATAAAAGTGAAACAAAATTTCTGAATCACAAAGAAACAGATCATTGCAATGCAGCTAACATATGTTGTCATTCTGATGGGAGTGATAATGTAAATTCAAAATTTGACACACCACAGCCCTAAAATACATGGTTCCAAATCCAAATGAAAATTCCTTGAACTCTAATCCAGCTTGTGATTTAGACTCAACAAGTGCAGGGCAAATCCATTTGATATCAGATAGGAGAACCAAGTAGCAGAAAAGATACAAACAAACAACTTGGCACATAAATGTGTGGAAGATGTTTTACTGTGTATTCCTGAAAGGGCAAATGGTACCTTAAATTTGCCTAAGAAGACAAAAATTGAAAGTTCCTTTTGGAAGGACTGACAATTTCAGTGGTTCGATGCTCATATGGATGAAGACAACATGCTACAGCAGACTCCAGATGTTTCCTCCGGTTTTTCTAGACAGCTGTCAGAAAAATTTCCTAAAAATATGGAAACACTAGAATTCCAGAGAGCCGTGAAACTCCAACCCATCAGGGTCACTGAACTTGAGTATCAGGTTCTGCATCAGAGAGAGTCTGAATCTGATACTGGCAGTGAAGTACCACATCCTCCCGGAAGGACATAAAGCCCAGATCTGAAGACTATGATGCCGGAGGGTCTCAGGATGATGATGGGTCAAATGACAGAGGTATTCTAAATGTGGTACTATGCTGCTATGATTTTCTCGTGGAAGAAGTAGCAGTGATACCAGTACTCCAAGAATTAAAATTTATGATAGTAATTAAGACTGAAGTAAAATGAAAGCAAGTAGTAATGATCTTTTCTAAGATTCACAAGTGATGATGAAATCAGGAAAAGGCCAGAAATTTGGTCTCGATCTACAATAGTTCACTCCTAGGAAAAGAAATCTATTCCACGAGGCAGTGTCCAGTTTGCTCAGAAATAGATCAAGTATCTTCTTCAGCAGATGAAACAGAGGATGAAAGATCTGAAGCTGAAAATGTTGCAGAAAATTTCTCTATATCTAACCCAGCTCCTCAGCAGTTTCAGGGAATAATTAATTTAGCTTTTGAAGATGCAACTGAAAATGAAAATGGAATTTTCTGCAAATAAAAAGTTTAAAAAGGTCAGTTTTATTTCAGTTGATGAATGTGAAGAGCTGATCAGATGAAGGAGAAGTCCATAATTTCTTTCAGCCTTCTGTAGATTCTTTTTCACCTCTGATGTTTTTGATAGCATTTCTCATGAACATCATAAAGGACCTGCTATTCCAGATTCTCACGAGAAAGTGAAAATAATATTTTAGAATGTAAACAAAATAAAGGCAATAGTGTATGTAAAAATGAAAGCACTCTCTTGGATCTTAGTAGCATTGACTCTTCAAGAAAAAATAAACAGAGTGTTTCAGCCACAGGAAAAAAGAACACAATAGATGTCCTATCCAGTAGAGGCAGACACCTTCTTCCAGAAGATAAAAAAGTAAACAATGGAAGCAGTGTAGATAATTTATTATCCACAACGAGCAAATTCTTGGATAGTGATGTGCAACTCAAGTATGACCATGTCACTTGAGCTTCATCAGCAGAAACCATTCTGACATACCAAAGAACAGCTCTACAAATCTCTAGACTCCTTTTCTCGGAGTCAAGTCTGGCCTCAGGAAGGTCCAGTGAAAGAGAGCTATCTACAGCTACTGAAAAGCTAATATTGCTTTATCTGCAGGTAATGTATAGAAATAGAAATGCTAAATGCATAAAGAAAATAAGCTTATAAAATTTTAAAGTTGTATGAAGTCTGAATGTTATATTTTAGTCAGATAGAATAATTACTTAAGCAACAGATTAAAATTTTAAATGAAAAAATTTCTAATATGAAAATTAGCTAGTTACCATTCTTTATTGTCTACTAAAATCCTAATGAAGAAGTAATATATAGTAAACATTTTGAGTGTTATATAGAGCTAACCTACTAAGAGATTTTACATGAGAGAATAAATAGAAAACCTTAGTTTGCTGCTATTTAGTTATTTATGTATAATTTAACACAAGAATTCTTGACTATTAGAAATTTTATTATACATTGGATATGATTTATAGACTTGATAGTATATTAAAGGCTCAGCAATAACTCTAATATGTAAATTAAAAGCAATTGAACTATTTTTTATAAATCTAGATTGATTTACAATTTATATACATTTTGCAGAGATTAAAATTTTCAGGATCTCTATTCTAAAATTTTCAAATAAAAGATAAATTTCTAAAAGAGATTATATTTAGAAGTTAATGATAATATATGAAAAAAGCCCAGCTTATTTCATATTGTTTAGATGATTTTCTGTCTAATTGTTTTGTGTTTTTTGTCTTCCTTATTATAGTAATTCAGACTAATGACCCACATTTAAAATATGCAATAGTTGCTAACTGAGTAGCTATTGTGTATTATAAATTCAAGAAAATACTGATCAGTAGTTTCCTGTTCAGCAAAATCGAAGAATAAGGAGGTCTTGAAGTTGTACTTTTTTGTTTGTTTGTCTTTGCTTGCATCTTCCTTTGCATGTGCAATATGTTATTTCTTTAGGTGAAATGTATTTATCGCCGCTTTTTGGGTAACTGACTTACTCCTAAGTCATCATCAAAACACTATGTCTTTTTTTTTTTCTCTTTTTCTATTGTAGGAATTAGATATATGTGCACATTCTGGTTTATGTTTAAATAATTTGTTTTCTGTATCACAAGTTTTCAAATTAAACTATGGAGAATTATTGTTAGCTGCTTGCGTTGATTTTGTCAAACGTTACCCTTGAATTTTTAACACAGAAAAATGCCTCAAAATCTTGGTCAATTTTGTATAGATGTTATTTTTCCTATTGTGGTGGTGGTGTTTTTTTTTTTGGACTATCACTGTTATATTGTGTTAATATTCTACAAAACTCTGAAGGGTACCAACGCAATTTACATTGTGTAGTATTATGAATTATTTCAGAGACATAGATGATTGTGACACACTGGCACTAACCTGCACAAAAGGACCACACACGGCCTTCAAAACCCTGTCTCCAATATATGAGATGGATGGGAGAAGCATTTGAGCAGAAAGTGGAATCAGAAACACATGTTACAGATACGGGATTTTGGAAGATGACCAACATTTTGCAAAACAAGATTGACACTACTAAAGCAACTGCTCTCTGAACAGGATTCAAACTTAGATGTTACAAATCTGCCTGAAGACTTAAATTTAGCACAGTATCTAATCAATCAGACACTACTTTTAGCGTAGATAGCTCAAAACCTCAGGGTATAGCACATATTGACACTTTGAACAGATGGAGTGAACTAACATCTCCACATGATGATTCCTCAGCGAGCATCACCATGGCTAGTTTTTCCTCTGAAGATTGTTCGCCTCAAGGGGAGTGGACAATTCTGGAACTGGAAACTCAGCATTAAGTGTTAACATTTTGGAAAAATTTATGCCACTCCTTTATTTTTTGATGCCTATATTATATCCAAATGATAATTGCATTAGCCAGATATAAACTTTCCTTAATATTGAGTCTTTCCAATTTAATGAGGTAAACATAGTTTATTTATTAATATATCACATACAGAAAAATGTTTTTCTAAAGTTTTTGAGCATGTTTTCTATAATTATTAGAAAAATTAGAAGACTTGTAAGGAAACCTTTGCTTCAGTTTTCCTTTCCTAACTGATCATTTGTTCACTTGTTCATTATTCAAGAATTTAAAATGTGAATGCACAAGTAGATCAGTCCCTTTACTTTTTGCTCTGCATATGGTAACATAGTAATTTAACAATAAAAAACTTACTGTGCTTGTGTCCATTCATGTAGAGTTTTCTGTGAATAACATTCAAACTCACATTTAGGTGATTGAGGCTGATATTGAGTGTTGGGAAAATCTGAGCTTCCCAACAATTCAGGCTCCAGGAAATTCTGAAGCAAGTACATCTCAAATTTCAACCACATCATTGCTAAAACAAGAGAAATGGAATTTCCTGTCTCTCTCTTTTGGGGATATATCCAGAGAAGAGAATCTGCCCTTGTTCAAAAGCATAAACTTCCTTTACAGGTAGTCGCTCATTCTCCATTTTCTATTCCATGTTAGGGATATGTTGGAACTGCACCTGCAATAAGCCAGCACTTAATATAAACTTCAAAACAAGCATATGAGGCAACTGAGTTATGGAGTTTAAATTGTGTGTATGTGTATGGAGTGTATGGACAATACACTCATGTTTGCTTTCTTGGTGTCAGTATACGCCAGTTCCTTATTTCAGTCAGATTGTCTTTCAGTCTGTGTAATTCTGGTAGTAAGTCAAAGATAAAACCTTTGCTACAAAATGCTTCTTGTTAGCGAGTACTTGGGTATTCTTGATATTGGAATTTTGATATTGCCTGTAGGATTATGATTTCATAAATGTTTTTCCTCTCAAAGCTTTGTGACTCATAATTCTCTGAAATATGTCAGAAGTAAGGAAATAGTTTAGAATCCCTTTACTAAATTAGTGAAGTCTTCAAAAATAACACATCATAACTGTATTGAATAATTTTGTCATTAATGCACAATTATTTGTTCTAATAACATAGTTATGTTAGGGTTAGCTGCTCATCTATTATACCATAAATTTACTATGCCTTTTTAAAACTAGCCCCAGAAGAGGAGCACTTGTTCAAGAAACAGTTACTAACTCATTCATTCAAAGTCAAGAAACAGGTCACCAGATTTAGCATTTGGGTGTAAAGAAAGTAAGACTTGATTCTGCCCTCTAAAAATAAATAGATAAATAAATAAATAAATAAATAAATAAATAAATAAATAAATAAAAAGTTTCAATATGACATGGGAGTGAATAAGAGAAAGTCAAATATGGCATTATGAAAATTTGTAACTTAGAGCTGATGGGAATTTAGAGATTATTTCGTCTTATCTCTTCCACTCCAAAGAAGGGCTCTGATGCCCAGAGGAATGAAGAGCTTGCCCAAGATCCCACAGCTAATTGTGGCTAGGATTCAATATCTGTAGTCACAATAATACCACTTTGTTATTACTTTTACTAATAACACACTTTATTTTTCTCTACAAACCTGAGATCAAATACACTTACAGGTAGTTTGCAGTACAAATAGTTTGCAGTGTAAAGAAGTATTATATGATAGAGTCTAAAGACAGCACAAATTCCCAAGACACTGTTTTCTTTTTCTTCAAATGTGAAACTTTTTTTTTTTTTTTTTTTGAGACAGAGTCTCGCTCTGCCGCCCGGGTTAGAGTGCAGTGGCTTGATCTCAGCTCACTGCAGCTCCGCCTCCCGGGCTTATGCCATTCTCCTGCCTCAGCCTTTCGAGTGAGCTGGGACTACAGGCCCGCCACATAGCCCAGCTTAGTTTTTTGTATTATTTTAGTAGAGACGGGGTTTCACCGTGTTAGCCAGGATGGTCTCGATCTCCTGACCTCGTGATCCGCCTCGGCCTCCCAAAGTGCTGGGATTACAGGCCTGAGCCACCGCGCCCGGCCTCAAATGTGAAAACTTTAAGTGTTATTTTCTGTAAACTTCCTCAGAAGTTCAAATTTATAATTGAAAATTTCTTTTCCCAGTTTTAAGGTCTTAAAATCTTCTTAAACTGCTAAACATGCAGAAATCTACTGAGTTTCGCATCACATCTAAGTGCAGATAACTGACTAGGAAGGTAATACTTTGCTTATGTAGTAACCACTCAGAGAATTTCAGGACATTAATGTTTCCTTTTTTTTTTTTTTTTCTTTTTTAATTTATTTATTATTATTAAACTTCAAGTTGTAGGGTACATGTGCAACGCGGCAGGTTTGCTACATATGTATATTTGTGCCATGTTGGTGTGCTGCACCCATCAACTCGTCATTTACATCAGGTATAACTCACAATGCAATCCCTCCCCTCTCCCCATGATAGGCCCCGGTGTGTGATGTTCCCTTCCCGAGTCCAAGTGATCTCATTGTTCAGTTCCCACCTACGAGTGAGAACATGCGGTGTTTGGTTTTCTGTTCTTGTGAGGGCTTGCTAAGAATGATGGTTTCCAGCTGCATCCATGTCCCTACAAAGGACAATAAACTCATCCTTTATGGCTGCATAGTATTCCCCATGGTGTATATGTGCCACATTTTCTTAATCCAATTTGTCACTGATGGACATTTGGGTTGATTCCAAGTCTTTGCTATTGTGAATAGTGCTGCAATAAACATACGTGTGCATGTGTCCTTATAGCAGCATAATTTATAATCTCGGGGTATATACCCAGTAATGGGATGGCTGGGTCATATGGTACATCTAGTTCTAGATCCTTTATAAATCGCCATACTGTTTTCCAATGGTTGAACTAGTTTACAATCCCACCAACAGTGTAAAAGTGTTCCTATTTCTCCACATCCTCTCCCACACCTGTTGTTTCCTGACTTTTGAATGATCGCCATTCTAACTGGTGTGAGATGTATCTCATTGTGGTTTTGATTTGCATTTCTCTGATGGCCAGTGATGATGAGCATTTTTTCATGTGTCTGTTGGCTGTATGAATGTCTCCTTTTGAGAAATGTCTGTTCATATCCTTTGCCCACTTTTGGATGGGGTTGTTTGTTTTTTTCTTGTAAATTTGTTTGAGTTCTTTGTAGTTCTGGATATTAGCCCTTTGTCAGATGAGTAGATTGCAAAAATTTTCTCCCATTCTGTAGGTTGCCTGCTCACTCTAATGGTAGTTTCTTTTGCTGTGCAGAAGCTCTTCAGTTTGATGAGATCCCATTTGTCAATTTTGGCTTTTGCTGCCGTTGTTTTTGGTGTTTTAGACATGAAGTCTTTGCCCATGCCTATGTCCTGAATGGTACTACCTAGGTTTTCTCTAGGATTTTTATGGTATAGGTCTAACATTTAAGTCTCTAATCCATCTTGAATTAATTTTCGTATAAGGAGTACATAAGTTGATCCAGTTTCAGCTTTCTACTTATGGCTAGCCAGTTTTCCTAGCACCATTTATTAAATAGGGAATCCTTTCCCCATTTCCCTTGTTTTCAGGTTTGTCAAAGATCAGGATGGCTGTAGATGTGTGGTAATATTTCTGAGACCTGTTCTGTTCCATTGGTCTATATCTCTGTTTTGGTACCAGTACTATGCTGTTTTGGTTACTGTAGCCTTGTAGTATAGTTTGAAGTCAGGTAGCGTGATGCCTCCAGCTTTGTTCTTTTTGACTTAGGATTGTCTTGGAGATGCGGGCTCTCTTTTTTGGTTCCATATGAACTTTAAAGCAGTTTTTTCCAATTCTGTGAAGAAGCTTCATTGCAGCTTGGATGGGGATGGCATTGAATTTATAAATCACTCCTTGGGCAGTATGGCCATTTTCACGATATTGATTCTTCCTATCCATGAGCATGGTATGTTCTTCCATTTGTTTGTGTCCTCTTTGATTTCACTGAGCAGTGGTTTGTAGTTCTTGAAGAGGTCCTTTACATCCCTTGTAAGTTGGATTCTAGCATTTTATTCTTTTGAAGCACTGTGAATGGAAGTTCATTCTGATTTGGCTCTCTGTTTGACTGTCACTGGTGTATAAGAATGCTTGTGATTTTTGCACATTAATTTTGTATCCTGAGACTTTGCTGAAGCTGCTGATCAGCTTAAGGAGATTTTGGGCTGAGACAATGGGGTTTTCTAAATATACAATCATGTCGCCTGCAAACAGGGACAATTTGACTTCTTCTTTTCCTAACTGAATCCCCTTGATTTCTTTCTTCTTTGCTCAGATTGCCCTAGCCAGAACTTCCAACACTATGTTGAATAGGAGTGGTGAGAGAGGCATCCCTATTCAGCCAGTTTTCAAAGGAATTTTTCCAGTTTTTGCCCATTCAGTATGATATTGGCTGGTTTGGCTCACAAATAGCTCTTATTATTTTGAGGTACGTTCCATCAATACCAAATTTATTGAGCGTTTTTAGCATGAAGGCTGTTGAATTTAATAAAAGCCTTTTCTGCATCTAGCTGGAGATAATGACGGGTTCTTGTCTTTGGTTCTGTTATATGCTGATTATGCTTCTATTGATTTGCGAATGTTGAACCAGCCTTGCATCCCAGGGATGAAGCCCACTTGATCATGGTGGATAAGCTTTTTGATGTGCTGAATCCGGTGCGCCAGTATTTATTGAGGATTTTTGCATCGATGTTCATCAGGATATTGGTCTAAAATTCTCTTTTTTGTTGTGTCTCTGCCAGGCTTTGGTATCAGGATGATGTTGGCCTCTATAAATGAGTTAGGAGGATTCTCTTTTCTATTGATTGAATAGTTTCAGAAGGAATGGTACTCAGCTCCTCCCTTGTACCTCTGGTAGAATTCAGCTGTGAATCCATCTGTGGTCCTGGACTTTTTTTGGTTGGTAGGCTATTAATTACTGCCTCAATTTCAGAGCCTACTATTGGTCTATTCAGGGATTCAACTTCTTCCTGGCTTAGTCTTGGAAGAGTGTAAGTGTCCAGGAAATTATCCATTTCTTCTAGATTTTCCAGTTTATTTGCGTAGAGGTGTTTATAGTATTCTCTGATGGTAGTTTGTATTTCTGTGGGGTCGGTGGTGATATCCCCTTTATCATTTTTAATTGCTACGATTTGATTCTTTCTCTTTTCTTCTTTATTAGTCTTGCTAGTGGTCTGTCAATTTTGTTGATCTTTTCAAAACCAACCCTGGATTCATTGATTTTTTGGAGGGCTTTTTGTGTCTCTATCTCCTTCAGTTCTGCTCTGATCTTAGTTATTTCTTGCCTTCTGCTAGCTTTCTAATGTGTTTGCTCTTGCTTCTCTAGTTCTTTTAATTGC